GTAGAAGATATGGAAATTTGCACCAAATTAGAGTCTGTTCTCGTAAATGATGAAACTTGAGACGAGAATGAGGGGTCCAGACGGTAATCTTGGCAAACGAGCCCGCAGCAATAAGAAGAGGTCTAACGGATTCGCAGTTAACATGAAAACGGATTTTCAGGCAAGGTTACCATCAAACTTTTTTTATTTGCCATTGGTACACAATAAGGCCGAGGAAAAACGTCACTGAGGTCACATTAAAACGAGAGCTAAGATCCAGAAAATCTTATATCAATTTAGCATTTAGCCGTTTCAAAAACGTTTGCACCAAATTGTCCCTGAAAGCACAGAGATTAATGCAAGCAATAAGAAATGCAAAGGAATATTAAGAATCGCACTGCCTCCGAACGCACATCTTTGCGATGTTGCTCAAGCTGTTGACCATGGCTGGTTGGATGGCTCAATGAAGCAAAGCAAGGAGCAGCAATTTAAAAATCATTCCGCGGGCATAATAAAAGGTCCTTAGATTTATAACTGGCTGGGATGTTATCACCAGAACAAAAGGATTTAAATCGAAAGTTAAAACTGAAAAGCTCTTCCAACATAATATAACTTGGCTTAACTACGACAATTTGCCAGCTACTTCATTGAGGCGAGTTGGCTATCATATTCGCTGGCAACAGATCAACTTTCCAGCTCACTCAACCTTAAGGCCCAAAAACTCTGCACATCGACATCAAGTTATGCGCTATACTAAGAATTTGTAAAACTATCATATCGATATTATATAAAGCTGCAGTACAAATTTTTCACGAATAGATCGGCAGATTTACTTGTCTTATTGTAGGTTCTCCACTGTAGTAACAACAAATAGAACAAATAAGTTATACAAAAGAAATAAGTCAAAAATTAGTTATTGGCAGCCTACGGTAAATTAGTTGTCGTTTCAATTGTATTTATTTTAATAATAATTTAATTTTGATATATGATTGAATGCTTAATAAATAAAATTGATGCACTGTAAATTTAACTTAAATATCAAATGTTTCCGACAAGAGTTTGTCCTGTACTCAGCTACCAAGTGTTATTCTAAACTACCTTCATTCCATTGTCACTTGAGTCTTAGAACTTTTAGAAAATTATAATTGATCAGCTACACGACTTAAATATATGTAAAATTATTATTTCCCCTTGCAGAGGGCATTTAATCGTTGACACCACACATATATACTTATTATTATAATTAGATTTAAAGCTATCATGATTAAACATTCTATAGATCCTTTCTATGCAAGCAGTATGAATGTCGGAGTCGGTCGGATTGACGGCATCATAAATACTAAATAGGAATGATCAGCTGAAAATGAATGCGCAACTTTTTTTGTTTTTAATATATCTAAGCTAAGTCGCCTCCACAGAGCGACTTGAATTGTCGTCGTGTTTTCTGCTTACCTGGTGGAACTCCATCGAGTGATTTACAGAGCCTATCTTTTTATTGAGAAATACAACATTTTTGTTTGATAATGAATTTATTTATGAAATGGAATTTGAAATGTGGGAGCATACAATGCTGCTTCTAAGGTACCTTGGTCTAGGCGTACCTTTGTCTTAAGGATGAAAGAAGATAGAAGAGTATAGTGTGAGAGGTGATCGTAGTGGTTGACAAACCAAATTGGATTCACCTTATGTCTTTAAAAATATGGCTATTTGATGGCGATATTTCCAGCGAGGTGAATTTGCCAATTATTCAATTTTCTGGTCCCGGAGTTTTGTAAGACTTAAGACCATGGATTGCGATTCTGACAGATAAAAGACCTACAGGCGCTATCAGCTAACGTTCAGTAGGAGGTAAAAACTGTTATCGTGGTGAGCAGCAAGGCTACGTAGATTACCAAGGATATCGAGAGTATTAAGGCATCGAGAGTATTAAGGAAAAGAGAAAAACAGTTTCAGCTTATCTATATTCAGAGTATATTTCTTCAATTAAGTAAACTGTTGTAAGACGAGTTTAAAAGCAAGAAGAACAGTTCATGTGTTTGCATAACATTTAACGGTTTTAACAGATTGGTATTAGTTAAAGAGTAACTCACCCCGTCCGCTTCTGGAAGAGCCGTAGCATCCGATGAGGGTTTCAATGTTTTTGGTATTGATGAGCTATGAGGCTGTAAAATGCAGTTTCTACAAAGGTCCTTATGATCTTAGCCATGTCACTGGAGCTAAGCCTTATGGGCTTTAGCTGCAGCTTCAGGTATTGTCGCTATCGCTGAAATTCCCGCGAAGATGACCCCCAGTTTGACATCAGAATGGCTTTGTGGGATCAGCTGCTTATCATCCGCTAGCTGAGGCTCCTGAGCGCCTGGCTTACCGTTAATCGAGTCTGCGCGGTACACCCTGACGGCCGACTTGGCTAGAGCCTCATTTTACTCATTATATAAAATAAAAACGATCGGGCGTGATGGTATTCATTCTTCCATCTTATTCTTTCTTCTTCTTTTTTATTACTCGCCAGGCATCTGTTTATAGGTGCATAATGTACATTTTGAATAGCTTTTAAGCTTGCCTCAGGTCCGCTCGGGTTTGACAGAGGTCCACAATCAGCACCTCCCGCGGCATGTTGAGGGTTTGTTGGTACTGAGCTTGTTTCGACGACTTTCACGTTTGAGGTATTTGCTGTCCTTTCTAGGTTTTAAGGCTAGACTTCATTAATTTAAGTGCTTTAGTGTTTAAATCAAGTAAAAGTACGCTAGCCGGCATTGCCCGAATGGGAGATACCCGGCACCTAGCGCAGAATACAACCCGAAAGCAGTGACTGTTTAGACTTAATTAAGCTGTTTTTACGCCTTGAACAGAGTATTGCGCAGTCGACTGCAATAGGTAATATGACTGGCGCCTTTTTCTGGGCGCTTTTCTGATTGGTCATTGTTTTGTTAGTGTGTAAAATATTTCTAATTGTATTTGTCTTGCGTTAGCCTAATTAATTCCGGAATACCTATGGCTTCTTTTGAGGACATCGCACAAATATGCAATGCTTTACCAGAATTTTCACAATTTGTACAGGGCTTGTGTACATGTAGATATATGGGTGCATATGGTGGCGATTTATGTTCAAAATTCTGACGGGACCACCCAGTTGGAGACCATATATTTAAACAACACATTAGCTGGTAGCGACGGGCAACTGGTCCGCCCAAGGCTCTAGCTTAGCTGACTGGCTGACTGACTGACTGAATGACTGAGTGACGGACTGACTGGCAACGTATTGAATGATCCGCTTGCAGTAGACTCCAAGTACCTGGCGAAAGTTAATTAGCCACCGGCAACAAAAGCCTAGTGCTGGGGCTGGACCACTCGAAGTTCTTGGATGGTAATTCAAGTCGCTCATCATAAACTGCTGACAAAGTTCTGTTAGCCTTGTGTCGCTGCCACCGCAAGCTGATTGAATGTACTCGGGCACTCGTATAAGCGACAAGCGATGAAACTGACGATCAGCCGGATCACTTACGTACACGTTCTGGCAACTTGGAGCTAATGCTGCAGCTGGAAGTGACTCTTGGGGCGTGTGTCAGGCTTCTTGCTGTAGTCTGGTTGCCGTTTTGGGGGGGCATGCTTCGATCGAACGTCGATCGTCGATCGCTGCTGGCTGATCGTCGGCGTCTTTAACGCTCGGCTTACTTTCTTTGCCGGCGGCCAGGCTGCCAGCCTGACGGCCTGCACGCCTGCCAGCCTGCAAGACTACCTGGGATTGGGCTTTTCGCACTGTCTAGAGTTTCTTAATCCGATACAGGGGGTTTCGCATAGTTTTGACGCCGACAATGGCATTGCCTTTTGCAATTTAACAACTGACTGCACCGGCTTGATTTGCAGCTCAGCTTTTGTTGTATTAGGCACAACAATATAGAAGCAAACAACAACTACAGCCAACCATGTATTGTGGGCACCTACGGGGAATGAGGGGTCGCATCTTTCGGATGTAGTAACCGCGACGGGGTGTTCAATTTATTTATGCTATGGCAAACCGCAAAAACTTTGCACGACCCATGATCCACGAGCAGTGCCTAGGACGGAGACAGCTAGGGCTCATCCATCCAAAGAATTGTAGTTGGTAGCCCAAATCTAACTAGGTAAGATGGCACTGGAGAGATAGAGAGAGCGGGAGAGAGAGAGAGAAAGAGAGGGTGTGCCAGAGGGATATTCCTCTTTCATGTGGTGGTCTTACAATGCTCGAATCATAATTTATTTACGCTCACTTTTAAGGCTTCATTCAAAATTCATGATTTTCGCAATTGTTGCTGTTGTTGTTGTTGCTGTTGATCTGTTGTTGTTTTTAATATATGCGCATAATTAACTGTAGTTATTGTTGTTGCCACTATTTTGATGTATTTTACATTTTTTCTTTGTGTTTCATTTGACTGTGGTTAGTTTTTTGCATAATCACAACATATTATTATTTACACACTTTTCCTATTTACCATTTTATTTTGTATTAACATATCCATACGATAGTACATGTGCATTTGTAAAATGGGCGTGGTTTTGCCTGAGCGCCATGATGGCGATCTATACGTAGTTTGCCGTGCCTAGCTGCTGTGAGAAACTCTATCAACTATTATTAATTTTAAATAAATACGATAACTTTATTAATAGTCTTCATTCTTTCCTATAACGATTTTGATATTCGAATTTCAAACAAAATAACAAAAATCGCGACATATTTTTATATGACGCAGCTATTCTAGACTTAAGCCTATTAAAAAAAAACTTAATTCTTTGTTGTGTGCTTACTCATCGATAGGGCGTATACATACATACATACATACATACATAAAAAAGTAGTTGTACATGCTAAGTATATAATATAAATGGTTAAAGTGCAATACCAATGCGTACAATTATTACATACATATATTATACTGGAAATTATTTACAGTTCTTAAAGTTGTAAAAGTTTCACACAGAATGCAAAAAAAAAAAAAACACTTTTTATTCTATTATATTATATATTAAAAGGTATATGCTGGTTTATAGTGTAAATTGAAATAGGCAAGAAAAAGAGTAAAATTTACACGCACAAATTTCGTTTAATTTTAGTTCAGTTCTATGTGCAGAAAGGCGCGTGTTCTTTGGAGAGGCGCTGGAATAAGGTTGGGTCAATAGGGTCGCCAGACTTGCGTCATATCGCCTACATCCTCTTCCCGTGCCGCCTCGTTGCTAACGTCGCTCTGATGCTGTTGTTGTGCCTCCAGCTGCCGCTGCGTCTCGTGGTGATGGTGATGGTGATGCAAGTGATAGTTCTGGGAGGCACCTTCCGCTGCCTGCTCGGCAATCGACACTGCTGCCTGCTGCTCCTGCTCGCCCAGGGCGACACCCCCGCTTACGCTGCTGCCGCCGCCACAGACGCCAGTGCCCAATCCGATCTCTATGCTAGAACGATTACTGGCCAGCGAGCTGATAGTCAATTGCTGGTCTGTGGCCAGGTACTGTTCCAGCTTCTCGCTGCTGTGAAGATGCAGATGTATCTGGTTCTGGTTAACAGTCGAGTAAAGCTGTGGATACAGAACCACCGGCGGCGGGGGCGCCGTTGCATGTGCACCAGCTCCGCCGTATTGTGCTGCCGTCGCCGAACAGCTGCCGTACTGGTAGTTATTATACCCATTGGACCAGGCCGCTGGATTATTGTAGGCGGCTGGCGTCGCGCCATAGCTGGCGTTAATTGATTCCAGATCTGACTTGGAGCTGGTACCGCAATACCCGCTTGCAGCGGCCGTCTGATACGGATCGGCTGAAAATCCGTGCATATCTGGAAGCACCGAGGATATATGATAATTGCCCGCGTCCAGCGTGGTTGTATCATAACCTCCCATAGCGCTGCTGTAGTGATTCATGGCCGATGCGGTGGCTACCGGCACCGGCACCGGCGCTGCGGCAGGCGGCGGTGGTGGTGGCGGCAACGCCACTTGGTGTTGTAAGTGGTGCGCGTGGTGGTGATGCGCCGAGTGGCTGTGTGAGTGCGAGTGGGTGTGGCTGTGGTGCGCATGATGATAGGGAACACCCACACCAACGCCCACTGGGTAGGCGACGTTAGCACCGGAGCTGGCCGAGCCTGTCCATTCAGCGGCACCTATCAGATCGGTTTCTGCAAATTGACAGTTAGAAACAAGTGAAAATATTAAGAGATGGATAGAGAATCAGTTCTACAAAGTCAATAGACAAAAAGCCAATTTATGAGCAACCTCTGCAGTCCTCAGCCCGATCTCACCCCACATTCAGCTGCACTTGTCACAAACATGCTTGGGCGTGGTAGACTACAGGCAGAATGGATAATTGAAAAATAATTTCATATGCGCCGACGAGACCCACGTGTGTATACGCCCTCCACCCTTATCCACCTTCCCCCGTCATAGTCTTTCCCGGCAAGGGGTTAACAAATTGGCAGAGCAAAAGAAAATTCCAAGGCATGCCCCGGGCAACTACGACAACAGCGGGACATCGCCGCCCCATCCCATCCCTTTGCCCCGTCGTCGATGTTTGACAGAACGTCGCGCGCATATTTTGATTAATTATGTAAGCCAGCGGGCCCGGGAACAGCACCAGAAACAAAAGAGGAAGCATCGTATATGCCAGCACAGGGCTCCAAGATGGTATACCAAGAGCAGGGCCAAAAATGCCTTTTAATTAATCAAATTTATTAGAAACAAAGCGCAAGTCAACGAGGCGCCAGGTAAAACGACTATACTAATTATTACATAAATAACATAGACTAATACACTGAAAGAAAATCAATAATGATTACACCTAACAATTAAAATCTGAAAACTTCTTTTGAGGCCATTGTGCTTGATGGTGATTTGACTATATCATATGCACTCAATAGCTGTCGTTATCCTGCTTTGCCCGACTGATGGGGGTGCCTTATTTTTCATTCACAAAGATCTTTGAAATTGAATTGATTCGACGGAATTGATGGAAATGTTCTGGATTTGTGTATACTTTTTGAAATACTAAATCTAAGTAATAATATGGGGGTCTTTAACTCTTATAAGCTCCAAGATAAGCATAAAAAAACAGAATTTCGGCAGCGATCTTGATCGATTTAATGGAAACGATCAAGCTATCGATGAAACAACCAAGATTTGAGCGAGTAATAGCAAGAGCTACGTACAAAATTTCTCTCGCTCTTTCTCTGTCTCTATCGACGTTGTTCAATGATTACATTGCGCACAGACAGACCGACATGGGTAGACCGACTCGGAACTTAAAACAGACCGAGACTATAAATACTTAATGGTATTAGAGGTGCCTGTTGCAAAATTTATTGTTTCTGTTATGATACTGCATTAAAATGATATCGGCAAACAAAAAGGTTGCTTAGCGAAAAGAAAATGTGTTAACATTCGTTTAACTCCTTATAACAGAAAGTACTCACTAGACTTGGAATATTTAATAAAGAAGCCTTTCTTCAACAAATTCGACGAGGAGTGCGATTTACACTTATTTTGTTGTCCATATGTTACAATTATATTAGTTTGTTATATAAATAAGTAATATACCTGAATAACCCCAACTACGTGTGATATGATCCATTTGACCATATGAACCGCACTCATCCCTCCCAGCCTGTACTCCAGGTAGAGCTTCTATCTTCATATCTTATGCTATCCCATCAATTTTCGATCCCATACCCTTCTTCTGTGCATACTCGCCGGAATGAAAGGGGTGGGACGAGAAAATTGCATACGAGCAACTTTTCACCCAGCACTTATCACATTTTATTGTTTCAATTAAGGCGAAAATTGCATTGCAACAGCAACAGCAAAAGCAGCAGCGGTAGCAAAAGCTGAAACCAAGCCGAGGAATAATCAGAAAACACAACTACCGCAACTTAGCGAGGATGCAATGAAGCGAAACTGACTGGATGAAAGCCAAAGGGGCGAATAATGGCTTTAGCAAGGGCAAGGGACCTCGGCGGGTCTCTTGGCCGGGCACTTGGAATTTTGTGCCACTTGAACTCAACCCAAGCTAACGACAGACGATTGGGAAATAAAGACATTTTCTTCTTTCTGCTCTTTGGCTATAGTCTATTATTAATGTCACTCGCATTGAATATAATTGCGGGTTCCTTGCGTATACGCAATGCCACTTTTGTCGATCTTTCCCGAAACCCGTCTTCCATTCTATAAAAAAGGAACATATACTACATGCAGATGAGGAAATATATAAAATTTGAAGTTACCTTTAGGCAAAGCATTAGCGTCGAGGTCACCAATCAGAAGTTCAAAAGTAATTGCGGTCTTAGACATTAAAATGTAACAATTTCATAAGCAGAATTTCCAGAATTTCGTGGACGCCTTTTAAAGGGGGTGTCTATGTATTATAATATATGTTTTTGATTAGTATCAATATCAGTATGGCCATATCCGTTTGTCTGTCTATCAGTGTCTTTAATTACCTCGGTCCACTCGCAGTTGCATTATATTTAACTTTTTCGATTTCGAGGTTCTTCAAATTTAATTTCTTTTCGATTTTTTTAACCATAGCATTAAGGCACTAATTTTGCAGGTTCTTGTTAAGATTAAACAAATGAAGCATATTTTATTTGTTGGATACCTGCCTCTATTTCCTCAAAAACTGAATACATTCTTCCTGATTGACTGATTGGTGCTCACGCACAGTCTATTCCGGGTCAAATCAATAATGCTGAAACTCCAACTTGATTGCAAACAAATCACGCCAATTTTAAAAATATAAAACGCTGCTGTAATGGCCTTCACTCGTCTGTGCATTGACCATTATCCCCTCACTATCGAATCTTTTTAATAAGAATCCATTACAATCGAAATTGAAAACATCACACGTGTCATATTTACTGAGTTCTAACCCAGGGTCTTCACACCGGACAGTTCTAATATTTTGAACGATCCAATATTCTCCATAACAATAAACAAACTAGGTAAGCAAACTTGGTGAGAAACTCATTACTGCTCTTGTTACTTATATTAACTTTTCTTTATCTAAATTGTTTCAACTCGATTGCAGAAAAGAAAAATATTCTGTTTGAATTAATTAAAGAAACACATATTTCTAATTTATTCCCCTGCATTTTCTATTTCATTGTTGTTTTTTGTTTTGCGAAAAAATTAAATATAAACAAATATACAAATTGGCGATTGCTGCTGAATTTAAATCAGGGACCTCTCGCTTCTTAGTCCGACGCTCAAACTTTGACTACTTGGAGGTCGAATTTTATTAAACCCGTCTTAGTTAGTCGCACTCTTTAAACCAAAGGTTAGCTTCAAGTAAAATACAGTTTTGTAGCTCATTCGCTTTGGGCTGTGCGTTAGTTACCATTCTTCGGTCAGTCAGGACAAACTCTTTTATATATATAAAACTAATAGTAATGCGAAATTCAATCGGATTGACAAGAAAACGTAGCAACCTCATATTTGTCATCCATGGGTGGATTTTGCATAATCAAATAAACACCTTGAGGTTTTCCTAAATCGATGAAACACGTATTCATTCATATCGAGGCCTATTGTACTTATTGCATCAAAACGCATCGACATTTTAAATATATATTCTCGAATAACATACACAAAAATAGTTTAATTTTGTTTTCGATGGGTGTTACTATTTTAAGAATATACATAAATATCGATTTGGGTTTAAAGTTTGCATCGCACAGAGAATATAAGAGCTAGCGAAAACATATATCATATACACAAAAAATACATTTGATTACCAACATTATCTCCTGAAAATGTCGAACGATCAAGCAATAAATACAGAACTTATTGAAAAATGTGTTTTACATAGAGTGAAGCCTGAAAAGAAGAACCACAGCCGCCCGGTCCGAGGAGTGCTGATTGAGCAATGTTGAGAAGAAAGTATGACCTAATTTTGCGACAACTCGGAGCTGGGGAAAGGGTACAGTTCAACGCGAATTGTAACTCGAGCATATGCGACCTAAGAAGCATTTTGACTTTAGTTTTACTTTGTGCACTGTGTGAATTATTCGACCTGTAGAAAACTTACGTGAATCAAGGACTGTAACCCATAAACAAATAAATTTCCAACCTTAACAAAAGGCTATTTGAATTTCAAGGATTTATGGGGGTGGAAGGCAATATTTTTAGCCCGATCTCCACCAAAGATAATCTTAGAAGATACCGATTTCTCTTGAATTTTAATATTTTGGAACAAATATATGCGAGTAAATGTTTCAAGTAAACGATAAGAATAAAGTTTATTAATTGTCCAGTATTAATCGGTTGATGCTGGGTAAACTTATGCATTTGAAGATATTTATTGTGGAGAGCAGGGAGTCGAGGGAGGAGGGCGTAAGATGTGTGAGCAATGCACAAAACTCGCATCTCTCATTGCCTCCATTGGCCGGATATCTTCGATTTTCTCTGGTCATATTCCATATCCGCTTGGCGTGCAATCAAGCGTAAGGAAGAGGAAGAGACTCTGCGTATCATCGACAGAGCTGATTGTAAGAAAACCACAGCTGGCCAATAATCGCCGGCAGCAGGGCATTGAGCATAAGTTAAAGCTCTGCCACTGAAGTGGCAGCGACCCCATTCCAGGTTCTCACAGCTTTCGTATGCGTTCTCGCTGCCTTCCCGTCGTCGCCGCCGTCGCCATCTTGGAGCTCATTAAGGACAAGCATCAACGAGCAGCTCCAAGTACAAGCTACAGTCGCCTGGCGGTACAAGTACCATCGCTGTTAATTAAAGTGCCTCCACTCCAGCCACTGCTTAGCCTCCTCTTCGGCTCAAATGTTTTTTTTTTCGGGCTTGCAAAATGGCGGACGGTTAAAAAATAGCAACAACTTTGCTGTGGAGCGTTGTTGTAAACAGCAAACGGTACGAAACGGAAGTGAGTTTGCGGTTTGGGCTTGGGTTTGGGTTTGGGTTTTGGTGGCGGACCAACTTGGCCACAGTTGGCGTTTTATGGGCCAAAAAGATTTCATTTCAATGTGCGATGGTTGACATTTTTGTTGTTGTTGCTGCTGCTGCTGCCGCTGGTGCTGTTGCTGTTGCTTTTACTGTTACCCGGCACACACGGCACGCATTTCTGGATGCATCTTGCAGCTTGCATTTCAAAGTTGAATGTAGTTGCTGTTGCCGTTGTCGCGGCCGTTGCAACAGCTGCGCAACCGCATTTGGATTGATTTGTGGCTTGGGCTCACAGACTCGGTAAAAAGCTCCACAGAAGGGCTACCTCACTTCGCCGCGCTGCTCACCGATCTTTAAATTCTAACAGATGTGGATTTACATACTGCACGCGCTCTTGCTGCAGCATGAAACTATAATTTGAGGAAATCAACAATTAAAGGATTTCGAAAACGAATTAAGTTTTCACTTTTCGGTATCAAGAGCGGCTGAGCATACAACACTTCGCATATTTTTCTTTCCTTATATCAATTTATTTCCTCAGACTTTGGGCCAGCTTCAGTTTATGTTTTTCTTGCATACTCTGTATAATAAAATCAGTACAATCAGAAACTCTAGGCATGATGATTGATTTCCAACTAGTTTGATCTATTTTGCTTCGTAATTTTCAATTCCGATAATTTGCGGTCTCTGGGCTTTTTGGAATTTCCCCATGATTTCCGCTAAAAAAATAAATAAAGAGCAACGTTTTTTGTCAAGTTGTTATTTTGCGTAAATTAACAATTTAAGCGCCACATTTAAATATTAATGGCTTAGCTTTTTAACAGCAACAGAAACAACAACAACAAAAATTTGTTTATATATATTTGCATGTATGTATGTACATACATATGTATATATCAACCACCAAAACGTTGTCCAAACACGCGCTGTGGGATTTTCAGTCTACGCTTGGGGCATTTCCGGTTTTGGTTTATTTTAGAAACCAAACATACAGCCACAACGAAATCGATTGCACTGCCAAATGCCGCTGGATTGTTGTTATAGGTATGAGTTGTTATTGCTTTTGGACAATTAACACACGTCGACGATGTCGACGATGTGTCATTTTGTTCATATCATACACACATACCTTTGTATGTGTATTGTAATTGGGCAGCTCGATGAGCCGCGACTCTTCTGAAGGCAGCAACGCAATCAGACAACAGAAAATGCAAAATTAATAAATTAATTAGCATAAGCAACACTTAGTCTCTGTATCAGAGTTTCTGCTTCAGATTCGTCTAGTTTCATCAGTGACCAAACTAGCCCTGACTCATAAACCAGTGACTCAGTCCCATTCCCATAACCAGTGCTTGTGTTCGTGCTCGTGCCTGTCCCCGGGCCAGTTCACAGTTGCCCAACATCTGCTAAGCAGCATTAATTTTGCTTCTTTGTCAGGTCTATGCGGTTCTGAAATAAACGCAAATAATTTGCATACCCTGTACTCAGATCCAAACAAACATTTCTACGCACATGAATACGTGCCCACAAATTGACACACAACAGAGCTAAGCTTGATTTAGGCCTTTTTTGGTTATACCCTGTTCCCACAGTGCAGAAGAGTATATCCGTGTTATAAACTGTCTGTCTAAATGATCATCTGTCCGCACGAACTTCATTTTTTGGCCTCTCCAAAATTGACCTACTAAAAGTATGCTCAATTTTTCCATCAACAGGAAAAATATTACGAATTTTTGACCTAGCACATACACGCCTCCGCAAATTGCAAAAATCTACAAGCCCAGCAATTTTATTGTAAGAATTACCGAAATTTCACAAGTAGATTACACTTCGTCCGTTTCAAAGATTAAAATATTTCCGCCACACTCACGACCTTCTTCCACCCCTCAAATGTGGAAAATGGTATATATTTTACTTAAAGAGATTGTCTTAGATCTTCGGCTGTAGAATATCTCTAGTCCTACAATCTTGAATTGTTTAACCTGTTATAAGCAGTTATGACGCAGTCGGATGACTTTGACGGCCGCGTTAAATCATATTGTGCATGTACGCGTGCAATAAAATAGTTATTACAGTGAAAACTCTCTTGAGTGAACAGCTACCATTGGGTAATATTTGTCCGCTCAAGAGGAGTGTTCGCCTAATACAGGGTACATAGGTATGACCTTATTCAGACTGGACAATGCCCGCCCAAGCAGGGCCTAATAGGAGTGTCCGTTAGAAGAGTTTTTACTGTATTTTATTCCTCAAAATCCAAACATATCTTATTATGTGTACATTAGCGACTCGATTTCAAAAATTATATGCTTCAATTTACTTGTAAAGCACACAGAACTTACACATAGATATGCCGTTATTTTTTCGAAATACAAAGGTTTTACCTACAAAACAACAAATATATAATATTTTTGTTAACACACATATGCATATAGTCGCTGTTGAGTTGAAAAAGAAGAAGATATTTCTTTGATACAGCGTGAGACCCCAGGGTTAAACACACAGTAAATGGATGCAGGCTTTACTTGACGTTTGCAATTCGCAAATGGCTTCGACAAGGCACAGTCCGTTTACAATCCTAGAGTCCAAGGAACTATTCGTTGCTTGTTGGCTATTACATTTTTATTAACAAAATAACCTACATCTATCTCGAGTCGGCCAGCTTAGAAATAGTATTTTTGCTACAAATTAACCTAAGACCAATTGACAAAAAGTGTTTCACTCAATATACTCCGTGCTATTCAAAAACCTGCATACCTGCATCTGAAGCCACTATATCCCAAAATATTGCAAATAAAATCGGGAGTTCAAATCGATAATGATCGATTTAGGACCTACGGGAAGAGTAATCGAAGAATTATATAAAATGTCGAACATTGACTAGATAAACAGATAGACAAATAGGATCGGTGATATATTTTTGCCGGTTGCACAGATTTGCATAACTGCATAATAGCATCTTTGGTATATTTTTATTGAGTACAGTAAATACAATATATACTAGTTAGGGAGTTGAAATGTTGGGAGCATGGATTTTTAATCCTTCGCATTTTAAGGACAACTGTTGTTTTTGTTCTTTTTTTTTTTTGTTGAAAGTTAGAAGCCAAAGCTTTTACCTCACGCACATCATGGATGACATGGTCAATGCCGGGTAATATTTGCTAGTGTATCTATAAAGATTAGACAAAGTCATTTGACTTAAGCATATGGTAACAGTGTGTGTTGATGTAAGCTCTGATAAAGACCGAAGACTTGAAGTATGCGGCTATGATTAAAAAATAAGCGCGAGGCCCCAGCGACAATGATCGACTTCAGCGGCGTTGAACTATTTTTAAGCTTCGTTGAAGAAAATAAATAAATTAGCGTCCTAATGTTAAGAGAGTAAAAAATACTAAAAATAAATCGAGACTGAGACCGAGATGCGGCATCGGCCGTTCATTAACTCAATTAAAAGGTTTAGGCCGCCTGGTGCCTGGTCGAATCGACCAAGTTCTTGACCATTCTAACAAAAAAACACGTACACACACACACACACACACACACACAGTTTGGATTGGCACGGAAGCAAATGCAGGCGTCATTAATACTCGTTACTTCATTAAAAGAAATTTCTCGACAAAAAGATACAGTGGAATGGGGGAGTTGGTAGCTGTTCTGCTCATGTAACTTACCTTGAATTTGTGGCGCATTAGGCTTGTAGCCCTGGCAATCCGAATTTATTGTACTATTTGACGATGAGTAATTGCTACCCAATTGCTGGGCAATACTTGTGTTTGCGGTCAGCGGGTTACTTGCCGATGCAGCCGACACCGCAGCAGCCGCCGCCGTCGTGGCTGCCGCAACCTTCGCGGAGCGACGCAGCGTTTCCAGCTCGTGAAAAGTTTTGGGGAAACTATCAATGAATGGTCGCTGTCCGAGGCCGAGTGCTCGATATTGGGGACCGCCGGGTGGGCCTGTAAAGAGTTATAGTAATGTGAGCCTGAGAATTGTGCTAAAATCAACTAATCGAGCCGTATTATAGGTATTCGTCTAAAAATCTATAATTTTATATTAAAAGAGCAACAGTTTATAGGCCGTCTTGTCTGTCTCTCTATGAAGCCAATTGACAACTGGAGCACAAAATGCACTTAGTTGCATTACTAACCTACCTACTTACAATGATAACTATGCTGCAATGGGTTTTCAAGATTCTCTCTTGGAGTAGAGTACTTTTTATTGCATGTGGGTAATAGGGATAAGTGAGATTTAGTAGGTAAACGCAAGGCTCTGTGATCCTTTAAAATAAATATGTTATTTATCATATTCTACAGTCGAGTAGATCGATGGCTAGATAGACATTCCAGTCTGTCTGTTCATTGACCGTCTGATTGAACGCGCTACTTCTAATTTGATAATGACCTCCTGTGTGTTTACCATATCTCGTAGAATATTGATTAAGAGATGCTAAATTAGGTATATAGGCTCTTGTATAATATACACAGATCCAGAATATCAGTTTCATTAAAGTTACGTCTCCCACTCCACCCAAAAACTAAAAAGAGAACCATATTTGAGAAGGTTCAGCCTAGGTTTTCGGTACACACACACATTTAAAAGTCAGCTGTAAGCTTTAATTATTTCTTAACAATCGGACGATATTTAAGAAATAATTTTTAATGGTGTTTTAAGAAGAAGCATAGCTACAAGCCGAAGTTCGCTTCTTGCTCAGTTTTGCAAGGCCCTATCACTTCTTTGACAAAAGTCCTGAATTCCCCAACTTTCCCGGCTGATTGTGCGTTCGTATATTCGTACAAGTTTTGCTCTGCTGCTCTTCGTCTTTTGTGAGCGCATACTCAAGGTAAAGTCATGCCACAGCATATTTTATATGTACCTATACATTACTGTATACTTAAGTATACTCGTATGTAGAGTAGATATTGCAGTGAAGACCTAAAAATGCATTAACAAAAAAAAATATTTAAATATAAGAAAAAATTAATTCATACTCGTATATGCATTACACAAACTATTAAACTCAATACGACAACGTTGCCGGCTTTGCAAAAAGGTTTTCTTTGAAAACCGCAAAATTTTCAGAAACCGTAGGAAGCAATGCAGTTCATTTCAGTTCAGTTGAGTTGAGTTGAGTTGTGTTAAGTTGAGCTCACGCTTTAATATGCCTGTCCGTCTGTCCGTCTGTCCATCTGCGCAGGCAAACCGGCTGCACTTTTCAAACACCTTCCCTAAAGGTAACCCAACAAAATGGCCGAACTCAGTTACACGATCTGCCCAGCGAGCAATTTTCAAGTCAATCTGACGAAAATATTTTGAAAATACATGTATGTTGACGGCAGAAAAAAAACAGCAGACGGCACAAGGAATGTAGAAGGTGTTCCACGGGGATTATGAGCGATTACCATTGTGTGCAATTGACCGATATGGCTAAGCTATTTACATTAATTAGACACTTGTTTAATGCGGCCTTAGGTTCGTGCCCAGTCCCCAGCCCAGTCCCAATATGACTTCGTGTTCCTTTTCGGCCGCATAATGCAACCTAAAACTCAGCGGGTGGCGAGTGTTTCTTTAGATATTTATTCGCATTAGTTAGTGCCAAAGTGCTGGAGAAAATGGTGCTTGGTGCTGTTATAATTGGTACTGCTGATGTTGGCTACTTACTCGTCTTGGAGCGCGGTTCCCTTGGACCGTCGACGGTAACTTTGATGGCTTTGGCATAGGTGGCCACTTGTGGCGGGCTCGTTGCAACGGTAATTGTCAGCGTAAAGCTTTTTCCTGTAACAATAAGAAGGAATGGTCTGAAAAGGGTATTAAAAGTCATATGCTGATTTATGAGACAACAAATTGGCTACCGAATCAATTTTCAGCTCCTCCCCACAAATTCATACAACGCTTTCAAAGTGTGTTAATTTCCCTTATCGCACGACAGGCATCTGTACTGTTTGCCAGCTTTGAACAACCTCTTCGCAGGGCTTTCTTATCCACTAAGGTTGAAAATGTATCACCTATTACGGAATGTTTGTACACATAGATCGTGGATAAGTCATAAGGTTGTATCCACGCTTTTGAACATACCTATGTATTTGGATAAATGGATGAAAATATAGGGTATGTCATACCAATCACTTGGAAAAGGTATGTCAAACAAATGGTACCTATAGGAGTATGACCAGCATAGATCTGTTCAAATTTATGTTACTGTCACGTCTACACTATAGATTTTCCAACGATAGATTGGGTGACTCTCACATTTAATTATATTTTGTGTGAGTTAATGTAATAAAAGCAATATTTAAAGCAAAATTAACGTAAAATCGAGTTTTTTTAACCTTTCAGAGGGTATTATAATTGTATTACGAGATGTTTTATTGTATGAAAAACTTAGAGATTCATATCTTTTTAAATTTATTTGCATGCATATTACAATTATGCTTATCTAAGCTAATCCTAACGAAAATCTTTAATTAGTGCGTCTTGCGAATTTATATAAATATATAGTTATGTGTACACACACTCCGGTCAAACTGAATAGGTCCAACACTTAAAAAATGTAAAATGGCAATATCTCTATAACCAATTGGAATAAACATCATTTTTATTATTATATTTATACTATTATTTTCTTTTTTGCAAAAACATAAAACAAAAAACTTAAAATGTTCAATAACTAAGAATTAAGTCAAATATATGATGTAATAATTCGCAGCTTTTGTTTTTTACATCAAAATCTATAATATTTTTGTATACTTTTTATTTATATACCGAAGCGGCCAAAAGAGTTTCTGGAGAACGTGGATGATATCCAAATAGTGAAATATTCTGTGCATACTAGTATAGAGAACTAGTCGTCATCTCATTACATGGTATATCTTCTCGTCGGATCATGTAAATAAATGTAAATGTGTCCATTCAATAAACTTGTTAGCACTTATTTACAGCACTTATTATGTACAGCTAGCTGTACTAGTTCAAGGGTATCTTTGCTTCGGCGTGCGGAAAAAAACAAGCATTTAGGATTTTTTACGTCTGTGTGGCGCAATTTATTTGAGCTCGGCATAAATTTTGTTGATCCTTCCTTGATGGCCGCCTCCAAGTGATTGTCCAGCACCGCGTTTACGGCTAAAAATAACGTCATAAAAATGTTGAAACCTGTCTGCCAGGTGCGCGAAACAGGGCAACATTGTGCTCTCTGAATGGGCTTGACCATGTTTACACTATTTATGGCTGAAGCGAGTGCCGCGTTGTGTCGGCTGGTCTAATGGTGAATTTGATAAGTTTATCGATTTACAGACCGCAGACTGCAATCGATTATCGGGTGCGGGAAGCTGGTCGACTTTCGAGTTGCCATTGCATTGGCATTAATTGCTGTTCCACACTGTCTGCCAGTTAAACAAATGCATTACCGCCATTTTTTTGTTGGCGGCGGTTAACAGACAGATACGAGGTAACAGAAACATGCACACAAACGCAGTTTAATGTTGTTCTTTATGCATATATGTGCATATATTTAAACATCCACGAAAGCAACAATGTTTATTTAAATTTGTTGTCACAGAGCAGAGCAGAGAGAGAGAGAGAGAGAGAGAGAGAGAGAGAGAGAGAGACTGACCGAAATGCAGAACTATAGGATGAACAAAAATCAATCCTCTCTCTGGTAACCGCAAAACCTCAGTCGCATCCATCCTCTCCCTCTGACAATGGAAGGATTGTGCACCTACGCAACTTCGCATGTTGGGAGAAGACAGGGTCAAATTGTGCAGAATAACTGAGGTGCCTGTAGAAATAGACAACGGCGATGAACGCGCAACTTGATAAAACTGGCGTTCGGCATATAACTTGGGACAGTGCATAAAACAAATAGTCACTGAATCTGAAGGTTGTCAAAGGTACGAGATTTACCCCCGAGTGGCTGCCGTAGCTGGTTTATCCAATGTTACCCAATCATTAAACATAGGAGCTGGCGTACGACATGTGGATCTGTACTGCCGGGGGTTCATTAACCTGGCAATTTGTAAACTGTCGGTAAAAAAACCAAGTAGTCAAAAGCTTTGTTTAGTGTATTCATATGCTCTTTAAATTGTGCTCATCAGTTAGAAAGCATTTGTCCTCAACCAACGCAGATCCATTGCTGACCCCTGTCATTTAGACGTAATTGCGTGCTACATGGTCGTTGAAGTGGCTCCAAATGTCTTCATTATCGTGAGCCGAGCTTGCGTTTGAAAGTCAAATCTATCGAAATAAGAAGTCAAATTAATCAAAGTGCTCCACAAAATATAAAAAGAAAAAGAAAGACATAACGACACGAAAATCCAAATTCAAAAGTGAATACCAAAACTTTTAAAGAGATTCCTAGACATTTTGGTTTCTTCTCTCTCAGTCATTATTCAATGGAACACAGCCACATTTGTGGTAACTGGCACATATTAAGAGAAGGCCAAAGGGTATTGGTAAGGTAAACTAGAGCAGCGTGCTCTCTACCCATAAGACAATCAACCACTCATCTATGGATACGTATACAAATATATCAAGAGAACACGCGTCTGCCTTTTGTTGTTAAGATAAAATATTGCACTACTTACGAGCACTATAGACTCAATGTAAATGATAAAACATAATAATAATAATAATAATAATAATAATAATAATAATAATAGCAATGAGCACCAGTTTTACTCGCGGTTCCAATCGCAATGTAATCAGTGCCCCAACGAAAGCAAAACAAAGCATGCAACCCAAATGAGTTATCAACATCAAACGTATTGTTGAACAATGGGCCCCAGACCCAGATTTCTACAACACGGGTATTCGTAGTAGGAGTAATTGGTAACGATGATCAATTTTAAAAATAGAGCTATCGAGCCAAGAGCAATCAATGCGCAAGCAATCATCTAAATAAATATGCGACTATTTGGAGAGAATTTTCTCAGATAACCTTCAACTAATTTATCCTGTCTTCATTCGAATTCAAGACTTTGATATTAACTTAAAATATATTCCAAAATTGCAATTTACGGGTGTAAGCTGAGCGGTTCAGGCTGAGAGATATAGGGTATATTGTAAAAATTAAGAAAAAATAGCAACAGGTATTCGATACAGGTTTGCTTGGAGCTTTAAGAGATTTTACTACTGAGCAAATTCATTTGTATACCCTGCTCAGATCATTTCTTTGTCTATGTCTAGCAAAACTTTTCTTATCTTAAAAATCATAAGTTTCTATAATATATTTAGATCAAGAACTTTTAAATACTTTTTAAAAAGAATTGATTACATGTTCCACATGTCTGTTATGATATTAGAGCTTCGGCGAGCATTCTTGTTAATATTGCAAACTTAATACAAAGATCAGAAATGTGATAAACTAATTGTTTTAATTTAAATATCTTTGTTAGAAATAAAATAAACAGATGTGCTGTGAGCTAATAAATAGGTTACACACTTATAAAATATCTCTTTAATAGTAGGGACACACGACGCTTAAAAAGATTGCACGTGCTGGATATTACACAAAACATCAAAAATCAAGACAAAATTAACAATCTATAGTGTAATATATATTAATATATTAATAAGCAATTTGTTTATTGTGCTAAGACAGGTTACAAATAAACAACGAGATAAACTTTGAATACAAAATCTCAAAATAAAAATCATATTGCTGCAAGCCCCACAGTTTTTACGCAGTCGTAATAAAAATGTACACAGATGATTTGCATACTCATATACAGTATATATTTAAATTTGACATATCCGAAAACAATATTTTTTAATTGGCTCAAAAAAATTTTTTTTTCCATCCATATTACGTAAATGTTTCTAGCTTTTATAATTTTCGAGCTAGACGGAGGTGTCTGGACCGACCTAGCTTTTCGTCCCGATAGAGAGTATATAAGCCTTACGGGCTCAAAAATGCGTTCATATGCCTGCACCATATATTTGCCTTATGCTATTACGCCCTTTCTCTTAAAGAACTTTCAATGAATGCAGAACCTAAAGAATAAAAACATTTGGGTTTTGTTGGAGGGAGAAGGCCCAAAAGGATTAAAAATAGCGATTATAGAAAAGTAAATGGGAACATAAAACAGACAATTCCTTAAGGAAGAAATGAAATACCATAATTTCCACCTACTAAGCGAATCTTATTAAACAGATAGTGCTCTAAATAGATGTTAAAGGCAGGTAGCAGTCATATGAGTTGTGGCAGTGCATTCTAGTCGTACACCCTGCGTCGGCTCTTCCTATCACCACCCAACGGTCACATGTCTGTGCGAGATGTTGGCACCAGCTTGGCCCAACCCTTATTAAATTTTGAGTACAATTTTTAATATTAATTAAACGTTGGGGCAAAACTTATGCGACTTATAAATTGTTGCGGCGCGTGCCAGTCATTTGTCGTTTGTTAGAGGAGTCTCGTAATCCTTTTGCCTTTTGTCGAATTTGGAATCGAGTCCTTTGATATGATTAGTACGTTTTAGATGGCCAGCTGATAGGCGGTCTAATAAACTAAGATTGCGATCAACCAGTTGACGAGGTATTGAATAGCATTTAAAATCCGAATAAAGCATAATTTAAAGCAGCACAAAATCTCGGCGCATGACATTGTCAGGCTGTCCGCCTCCATAATCGAAAAGGGAGCAGTTTTTGAATGCAGTATATATTTAATTTTTTGATTAAACACATAATAATATTTTGTTTGTTTTGCACGCTTGCTGGTTGAAATGAGCTTTGTTATTTAATCAGAAAACACCGCATGGTGTCCTGGCTCGCAATTTACGTGGCTTGATAGCTGGGGTCATGGAGAAGGCCACTTTGGGCGAGGGCTAGGGCGAGGGCGGGGGCGGAGGCGTGGGCCAGGCTATTAAATGAACGACACTGGGGCTGTCGTTGACAATTTGGTCAGCGCTTATATTCTTACATCATTAGCTTGTTATTTGCATGCCTAGTGCTCGTTGTTCTCTGCTGTTCCTGCCGCTTCTCGGGCAGTAATTATTTGCTGCCCTTTGCGGCACGAGCCGTCAATTGAAAGGCATGCACACTGACCGACTGTCAGGCAGGCAGGCTGGCAGGCAGGCAGGCAGCCAGGCAGGCAGACTGGTTGGCAGGCAACAGTTGCAGCTAATTAGCCAACTGCTGCTGCAAATTCTATGCAATGTGACTGGAGTACAGGCTCATGAACATATCCCATATTAATGGTGGGTTCAAATCGATTATTCCCTTGCGTGACGCCCAAGCAGCTCAAGGTATGCTGATATCTTAGGTATTCATGTGCAGCAAACTTTGAGCTGCCGACTGAAGAAAAGCTTCGACCATTGGTAAATTCGCGGGCTGCCGGGGTGCCGGGACGAGAAGTAGTCGTTGCCGTATTGCATGTTACCCCGGGGCCAGCGCAAACTGCAGCAACAGCAGCCGCCTAATATGACGACTTCTGGACATTGATCCTTTCTGCGTGTTAGGGGCATCCACAATGGCCAATACACCGGGACGGCTTCAGCTTCGGCATCGGTACCTTAACGTTGCTCTGCTTAATCAAAGTGTTTCCGCTCCTAACAACTTCCGCTCTCAGGCATCGAATTCGGAATAAGAGATTTGTGAGACGATTGATCCAGCTTTTATTTTTTGTTATACCCTACACTGATAAGGAGCCGATGTATTTGATAAATTGGTTGAAAGAAGCTGAAGGAGCCGATCAAGTCTTATTATTAAAACGCAAAGGAGTTATTGTAGTTGTACAAATGTATGTACCAAGTGAATCGAGGCATCTATTAATCCGGATATTATATTCTATATTTTTATTTTGCCCTCCTGTCTGTCTATATATTCCTCTGCTTTTATGCAATTAAGAATTCTGCTGCAGGCCGTTTAACTTTACTCTGCTTGTCACATAAGTCATATGAGAATCGGACAAATATATCATATAGCTCCCGATACAACAATCGGGAAAAAAGTTCTTATAAGAACAACTTTTCTAATTTTCAGATATTCTAACCAAGGCACAATAGGCTGCAAATGGATTTTTTAAAACAATTATTGTATTGGATCAAAACTAACATACACTTTTATAAGATATTTGATAAAGTTTTGCTAAGCTTGGCTGGGTGCTCCAGGCGTTATATATATATATATATATGCATGTTAAAGTATGGTTTTGTGTGTGTACTTTTGTGTATGGAGTGTATATTTTTGTAAATTTGATTTTAATTAAAGGAAACGAGGCTACGGCTTAGATAAAAGGAAAATATTTAGCACCTATATACCAGCTATGCTGTCTGTATCTCCTGTAATCTTCTGATTTATGGGAATGGGTTAATATTTGGGGTCTCTCCATAGCGAGCTTTTTCCGCTGTTATGCTCTTACATAAAAAGTACGTAGAAATTTAGAATAAAGCTTCCAATATTCACGCACATATTTATTAAAGTACTCAAATTTAATCAATTCAGTTCCCTTCCATGCCCTTGTCTATCCACACACGCATGTATCCCTCGAATTCACACAACTGTGAACATGAACCTGTAATTCTTTGTAGATGGAGCTATTTTATAGGCAACAAAACGAATATACTTAATATAGGAATATAAGGAAAGAGAAATCCTGTGTTGCCCTGCTGATTTTTACTCACCCCGACCACTGCGTCCCACGAAGCGTAGATCGTTAAACTTGGCCACGCCGTTCTTCATCTGGGCGGTATAGTTTCGCAGTTCGGCGCAGCAGTTCTCGTCATTCCCCGCGCGGATCGTCACATAGGTGCCATCGCCGACGTCCGCCAAGGCGACGACTTTAAAGGCCAACGGTAGCGTTTTATTTGACCGCCAGTGAGAGGGCAGAGCGGAGCACAGGAAGTACGGATTGCTCGTACGCACTGTAATTCGAAACCAAAAATTTAATTCAATCAGCTAATGCATTGATTTATTGTTGTTCAAAATATGGTGAATAATTTATAGTTTTTTGGCGGCAATGGTGACCATCAATCATTTGCATCTGCATTAAACGGCACTTTAACGTTTCGCTGGAGCGCTTCATAATTAATTAGTGGGTGGCCGTGACACCTTGCCCCGATGTGGCGCAGTAGACGACAGTTTAGCCAGATCCAGGGCAACCTGCGATAAAGGTCGCTGGGCCATTTGTTGCTCGATGTGTATATGCTTGCATGTGTATATGTAAAAGGTCCAGTTAACTAACATCAGAGATTTACTTTAAAATGACTTTCCGCATATTTTAAATTATTCACTAGATTTATTCAACATAATAAAAAGCAAGAACATAATATAAATATACCATGACGGTATGTTTCTAGTCACCTAACCTCGAGATCAATGTTGGCATAACGACCAACAACAACAACATATAAAAACAGGAATAGTGAGCAGTTTGACTGCATAGCTATTTCAAGATCCCTCCGGTTCTATCATCAGGCTCTGCTACCGAATCTAGATTGGCAAGCTCTTGTCCCAATTCCGAAGATATAACCAATTGAGAATTATAAGCAACGAAAAGGCGATAAAGCGACAAAAAGCTGGCCATCTCTTCAAACGATGTGTCCTGTTGGAGGTCATTATACTAATATCACCAATAGAGTTTCTATATATATCTTAAATTAACCCCTGGCATACACTGAAAACACGCATATTAGTTCTGTGCAAATGTAAGTATTTAACACGGAGAAGGCGGAATCTCCGACCTGGTCTAGTGAAACGCATAGAAGAACACATCTCCCCATAAAGTATATATATTCTAGATCAGCATCAACAGCCGATTGACTCGGCTGGACTCAACCATATCTTCCTGACCGGCTTTCTTTCTGTTTCTATTCAATTTCACGTCTCAGTTTGAAAGATTTTTCCATAAAGCTTGCATAGACCCGCTTTTCTCTGACAACCAGTAAATTTCTAAGAACCTGCTGTATCAGATATTTCCATATAGCTGCCACTACTATATGTGTAAAAACATTTTTGTTTCCAAGTATCTTGTTCGAACTCGACGTTAACTAGTTAATCAGATCACTGGGTCATAAAGCTGCCAAACGAAAGGATACTCAAAAACAATGTTAATAAAACCAGTTTTTTGCTTTTCAAGATGTCTTTGTCATAGTTAAGTTTGCACAGAAAAAATTCCTAAATAGGTATCCTGATGTTCGGGTGCCATCATACTCTCGTAGACTTCTGATAATTAATTTTCCCTCTTTAATTAACCGTAGATATGTGATAATATTTATTCATAAGTTAATTACATGCAAAATCGACTCCTTTGGGTTGACTAGCCAAATAAGCTCATCTGTACCTAGTAGACTAACACGTAATTGTGAATCTTCAACTCTTAAATGTAGTCCAACTATCTATGCCTTGCATGAACCGTTCCGGGTCCTCTGTAATAATTACACTACGTATTACAGGGTATTCTGTTCGGTATATTCGATTTCCTTTAGTAAATCTTTTAATTTAAATTATTTAGAAAGTTGTAAGTCTTAGTTTGTATTTGTTTGTGTACTTCCTACCCCTCGGCCAGATGGGCAGGAAGTGAAGTACAGCACTTTACACCGTTAACATATGACTATTATTTCATATATTTATATATATAGGGCAAATCTGCGGAAAACTGAGTTTGTGTATGACTAAATGTTGTTGCTTAACAAATCTTCACCAAACTGTGGAATAACGAGCTTGCAATTTTCCTGATATGTATGAAAATTGTAGACATAAAGACATTTACCAATATGATTTTTAGGCGCTCGAAACCCAATTAAGTGTTTATACCAAACAATCTTCAAGCGATCCTGTCTAAGACAAGAGTTCATTAAAATTTAGGACACGTTTTATGAGGAAAAGTGTAGGCTTTCACAGCTCGATTGCTCAGGCTCGTCAACACTCTGAGATTTCATAATGGGTCAATGATATGCTAAGGTATATGGATTTCATTGTAATGTTCTGTTGAAGCCGAGGACCAAAAGAGGAAGACGCAAAATAAGGCGACACTCGTGCGTTGATATCAAAACCAATAACTGATATCAATTTACTCCCATTCTCCTTGCATCATCGAATAACATTGACATCGACATCTACATAAAGCCATAAAAGTGTTAGATATCTTGTGAACCCCATCCTGGCTAATTGACACGCGCTAAAGCTTTCGCAAGAGCCCCGAACTAAATATTGACCTGAGTTTTGCTTGCACCGGACAGCTTACGTGCAGAGTAGAGTTTGTTATAAACAAATCGACCTAATCAGAAATGATAATTTTCTCTAGGAGGAATTCTATTTTAAGATGTGGGATGCCGCTTACCCAATTCTCCTGGATATTCCTGCTGTCTTTCGAGCACAAATCTTTCCATCCACAACAGATCCTGATGCACCGCATTGTTGCTGTTGTTGTTATTGTTGTTGCGACTGTTGTTGTTATTGTTGTTGTTGTTGTTTTTGTTGCTACCACTGTGTGCACTATTGGCAGTACCATTGCTGGCCCCACCTGTTGGCGAGCTGCTGCCAACACTGGCACTGCTCGATGGTATCACCTCGCACATGACCGCAGCCGCCGCCGCGGCAGCCGTGGTGGCGCTCTTATAATCAGCAGGCGCTGACCAGCCCGTTCCCGTTGGCGATGCCGACGATGTGACCATGCTGCGATTGCTACCGCTGCCGCCGCTACAGATGTTGCGCCCCAGACGGCCGGCGATGCTGACGGGTGCCACAGCTGAGACGTCTCCTGTTCCTGTTGCTGTCGAGCCCGTATATAAAGTATTGTTGCTGCTGCTGCCCACAACTGCTGCTGGCGTAGATGCTGTAGCTGCTGCTGCTGCCGTTGCTGTTGCCGATTCGCTGGGTAAGTGGAAATGCATGCGGTCTGAATGCAATTCAAAGTTGTGTGGCGCCAATTTGACGGACGATGTGATTTGTGCGGGTGTAACTGCTTCTTCCGATTCAGTTTGCCTTTATTGCACTGTTTTAGTTCAGTTTCAGTTTATGTGCTCTTATCACTGCCAACTATGCTTCTTGTCATCTCCTTTGTCTTATTTATATTCCCTTTTCCATACACCCACCCACACACGCAGCCACTGGCGCACGTCCTGCTCGAGAAAACAAGCAGACCTTATGTGGCCATTGCCTACTGTTAGGCGCTGCGGCTGCAATGGCATCAGCTGTTGTTGTTAATGTTTCTTTTTGTTTTATTTTTGATAATCTTAAATAACTTTTTCTGATTCTCCCGAATGAAAATTAGTCACAAATTAACACTTTTCTGCTTTTTAATAAAAAAAAAAAGGTTATTTTTACTTGGCATGCGTCAGGTTTGATAACTGTGCTGCTTTCGAGGTTACAGTTATGGTTGCTGCTGCTGGTGTTGTTGGTAGGGCGGAAAACTCTCGCTTTTCATTGCTGCTGCTGTTGCTGCATACATCAAACAAACAAATATAGAGCACGATCAAATTCAATTAACTTTCAATTCGCCTAAATTTTCGCGCTTTTTCCGTGACACACAGTCAATGCATTGTTTATATTTGCCGCTGGTGGCATATTATTATTTTGGCAACGTTTTGTCGACAACAACAATAACACTAATATCAGCAACAGTATACCGGTTAAAGAAACAAGACTTTTGACAGTTGATCATTGGGTTTCCTTTGCATGGGCGGTAACTTTTGTTATTGCTTTTGTTTATGGATGTGCGTTTTTTGTTTTTAATCGAAGCTAACTTCCAATAAGTTTGGCGTTTAAAATTTGTTTTTGGTTTTTGGCGCGTTCTTTTATACCTGAATTTTCTGGGTCATATGCATTGCAATAAATAAAATTAAATATTTAAAAACTTATTAAACTGCTACGCACACACACTCACACACACACACACACACAACGGCAAATTCGCTAAAAGCAATGTGCATTTGGGGGTATTTATTTTGCCAACAAACAAAATATGTAAAAAAAAAAACAGGTGCGTCCGCGTGTCGAACTAAATTGTTACTGACACCTAACGTGGCCACCAGCGTCGACTTAACCTATAGAACAGCCGCCAGCCGAGCCGAGCTCAAAATTCAGACATCGTCATCACTATCGACGCGACGGCAGCAACAGTGAAAGCAACAACAGCAACACTCTGCTGCTGCTGTTGCTGCTGCTGTGATAAGTTGTGTACGTTATTTGGCGGCTCTCTCTTACGTTCTCTCTGGATTCGTATTCAGCAATTGCCCTTTTAACAGCTGAAATTGCTTTGACTCTCTTGCTGTTGCTTCTGCGTCGGCGTTGACGATGGCCAATCGGCATGCGGTTGCCTGTGCATTGTGCGTAAACCGTTATGTTTGAAACGTATTCTGATTGGCCACCAGATGCCTCTGACTGTCTGTGTGTGTTGTCAGTGTGTGCGTCTGTGTTTGTGTATTGTAGGTCATGGTGGTTCAGGCATGCCTTTGCTTTTTTTCTGGGGAGCCCATTGCTATCTGTCATTGGGTGGAGCCTGTACCTGTTTGCCTTAGTGCGACCAATTAGCCTGGCCCTCTCTTTGGCTCGCTCTTTGCCTTTAGCTCGGCTTGTTATTAGCTCGTATGTATGAATGCGTGTAAGCATTTGCTCTCTCCTTTTCTCGCTCTCTCTTTCTCTCTCTCTCTCTTTCTCTTAGATTTTGAGCAGCTCATTTTACTATCAATTGGTATTTAAGTTATTTTATACTAAGTAAACAAATCAAGTGGGACAAGGGGTAATGCTCATATTTATGTTAATTTTTTAGTTCCATGTGCTTATGCTTAAGCGATAAAAGTTATCATACTCTAGATTGGCCTGCGGTCACGCATTCATCCCGTTTATGTCTATTTGTAACCAACTGATATGAAAATTCCTGAAAAAATAATTATAATTATGATTGAAATACCAGCAGACCGAAATGGTATTTGCATATTGACTAATTACTCTTAGTTGACATATTCTGACAAAGGCCCGCGTATATTAACCCGCAGTTGCACAAGATTTACCGTTGAGTCAACGATTTCCATAGGTACTCATGCCATTGTATGTTCAAAGATGAACACATGTATGTACATACACACATACATGCACACATTCGAAAGTTTATTTAAAAATACATATGTATGTATGTAAGTATGTTTGTAATTCTCTGAGTTTCGACTTTAGTTGACGACGACCACACAATTTTTATCGCACATATGCATTTACGACACATAAACATATGTGCTTATGTACGTATGCACATAGTTCAGGTTGGGATATTTACATACACACTTATATTTTCATTGGATTATTTTGTTTCGCTACTGTGGGAAACTTTCAGCTTATCAGTCAAAGCAAAAATAATAATATGTGTTCTAGATGACAGTATTCGCGTAGGAGATGTCCTGTACTCTGCGCCGAACAACCGTAACAAGCGTTCGCACAAACATATGAATCAATACTCGAAAATCGATTTGGTGGAAGCGGGTGGGCTAACGATTATTTTAAAAAAAATTGGGCCTGTTTTTGCGCTTATACAGATATACAGCCAAAAAGACGATTTGACTATTGATGCTGATCATGAGTTTATATATTTATATACATATAATAATGCATACTATTTGTCTCCATTTGCCTGGTTCATACATTAACACAGTGTACCAATTGTTACCCATTTATAAAGATTTAATTTATTAGTACAGGGTATAAAAACGTACTTATACGATTTGTGCAAAAATGTTCTTATCCCTTTCTGTGGATATTGAAGGTCAAGCAGCATGTTCAGCATTTTTTCCCATAGCAAACCAGATAAAAATACACATTTGTAAGTTTTGTATGTATGTTTATGTACATAAGTACATGATAATAAGTTTAAAGAAATGGACTAGCAATTTTATTTGGATTTTTGTATATGACTCAAGAAATAATGTATTAAATTTTATCTAAAAGTTGCAAATAATTAAATTTGAATTTTTATTTAAAAAGTAAACACAAACTTTTTTTTTTAAATGGATTAAAATGATTTTGTGCAAACCTATGTAACAGGGAGAAGGAAGTGTATTCAACCCCATAAAGAGTGTATATATTCTTACTCAGCGTCAAAAGTCGAGTCGATCTGTATGTATCTGTATGTATATCCAACCATCTTCATACATATACGAGCCCCACCCACCCCCGCCCCCCTCCCTCATGGAATAAAACTCATTTTTATACCCTGAACCCATTAAAAATGGCTTAAAAGGGTATAATGTATTTGAGCAAATGTATGTAAAAGGCAGAAGGAAGCATCTCCGACCCCAAAAAGTTAATATATTCTTGATCAGCATCAATAGCCGAGTCGATCTAGCCTTGTCCGTCTGTCTGTCCGGTAGTCCGTCCGTCCGTTCGTCAGCCCGTATGTATGAGCGCAAAGATCTCAGAACCTATAAGAGCTTGAGACTTAAAATTTTAACTGTAGGTCCTTTTAGTGCCCGCGCAGATCGAGTTTGTTTCCGATATTCGATAACTTGCCCCGTTTCCAAGTAATCGATAAAAATCGATATCGAAATTCTGTTTTTGGAGCAATTTTGGCAAATAAGAGCTAGAGTCACCAAACTTGACATGTCGCTTCTAGAATAGTACATATATATCAAGTATCTTTCATTTTATAGCTATCGCCACCGCCACGCTACCAACACAAAGCTAATAATCAAGTTAGTAAACAAACTTGTATTGCCTACCTATTTAAGCCACAATTTAAAAGCAATTGTCATTTTGAGAATACACGAATGGTTTAGAGTACAATAAGATATACTGCTGAAAATGTCATCAAGATCGGTTAAGAAACACAAAAGAAAATGTGTTTTGGCAGCTAGTGCAAATTGCAAGAATTTCTGTATACATGTACACACACATTCATGCGCGTCTGCTTTGAATTCTATCAACAGCATTGCAATTGCGATTGTATTGTTTTCTGTGCTGCTATTTTAATTCGTGTTTTTCTCATTAAGAATTAATGGATGGTGGGGCAGTAGGGTAGAGGCGGCGGCAAGTAGTGCGGTCTGTTGCGAGTTCGAACCCTGCCAAGGGAACTTTTTCTTTATTTATTTGTCTATATTGCTACTAAAGCAAACAAGCGCGTAGCGCGAGCTGCAATTAGTGTTGAAATAAGAGGGTTCAGGGTATCCTCTAGTCGGGGGCTCCCGACTAGAACCTCTTACTTGTTTCAACATGAAAATGAAGACCACTTTACGTTGTCAGTCTTAAATTGAGAATAATTTATTCTCAGTCTTTCAGACTTGATTTCATACTAACCCATTCGTTAAATGAGTTCAATTAAGCTGAAAAAAGAAACTTACAAAACCTTTTGCAAGTGTTTTCGTACTTAAAAAGTAGTACTTGAAATAAGAATTTCATACTTAAGTCGAATATTACATTAAAAAAATTCCCTTGATTTTGGAAAATTTGCAAAATAAACTTAATTTTTTCAAAATTTTAGAAAATTTTCTTATACAATTTTTCTCATATATAAAATGATCCTGAAATACATATTTTTAGAAAATATTTTCTGAAATTGGGAAGTAGTTTTTACCAAAAATATAAATCCGACTTAAAGTGTAGAAAGCCGGTCTGCTTACGAGCTAATAAGCTTATCAAATTTAGTTAAATCAATCAATAATTACAATTTTGTAGACTAGTTTAAACGGAACATTACATTCTATGATTACAAACACCTTTATATAAGACGCAATAATTTTCCATTAATATTTTGAGCAATGGTAAGTACATATATGTATACATACATAGACGCATACATATGTTCGTGTCTATGTACATAAGTACATGAATGCGATGTATGAATGTCCGTGTTAATTGTTCTGCATGTACATACATATGTAAGTGTGTATGTATTATACATAAAAGCTATCGTAAAAGCTATCATTGTATGTGCGATTCTGGAAGCTTCATGTCGAATTTAAACGGGACAAGTTATCGATTATCAGAAGCAAACTTTCTCTAGTTCAAATAGGATCTGTGATCGACGCGTTTATACATCCGGACGGGCAGACGGATGGGCGGACAGACGGCACGCTAGATCTATACTCTATACTTTATGTGGTCGCAGATGCTTTCTTCTGTCTGTTATCCACATATGTACAAAAACATTATACCTTTTCACCCATCTACCCATTAAAACCGTTACCATTGAACCCGTTGTCTAAGCGCAAGGCGCACGTAGGTACATACATACATACATATGCATTTATCTCTTCTTTAATCACTCCCTAATCTTTTGTACATATTTCCCTGCATAGATTTAATATCCAGAACCCGTTGATCAGCATCAGCATCCTAGTTGATATAGCCATTAACTTAATTGGGTCGGAGATGTTTACTTCTGCCTATTCCAAACATTTGCACAAAATCAATATACCTTTTTCAACCATTTCGTTAGGTGGGGTATATATATATTTAAGAAAAACAGGCGCGACAATACCGATCACATACGCACACATGTAAAAAAAACACACGTATTTGCGCATTGATGCAAGCCACGCGACACAGTCTTTATTTCATTTTTTTGGGCACCTAATTTTTCAGTTATTTTCTAAATATACATATATATATATATATTTATATATATATGTATATCTTTATATTAAACTGTTTGTCCTGACTGACTGACTTATTGATTGACTGATTGGTGATCAACGCACAGCCCAAACCGTGAGAGCTAGAAAGCTGAAATTTTCACTGTAGTTACCTTATATGATGGAGGTTTCACACATTTCCAAAAATGCATTCCTCGGTGGAAATGGGGGTCAAAGATTTGGTGGTTGACGTTTCGCCCTCAAACTCATTTCCAAGGATCTACATAAAAAATCATTTGAGACGTGTTTCACATTTTTCGCAAATTCTAAACTCCTTCGGTAGAAAGTGCATTTCAAAGAATTTTTTGGTGAATTTAAAGTTTTGTCCGATTTGCTTCTAACTTAGTTTCAGCGATTTGGGAAATTCCACTCGCAACAGTGGTAAATTAGGCGGAAAACTTTTGTATGTAAGTTGTTTGTTTACCGTCCGATCAGTTTCAAAATCATTTGCAAAGCTTTTTGAGAACGGGATGTGCCCGTTAGTATATATATATATATGTATGTACTTACATAAGTTCATAAGAGCATCCATATATTCATATAATTAATACATATCATGAAACTAGCTAAGTATTTACATATTATATATTTACATTTACTTTTGCACTTATACTCTAAACAGAAAAAATGCTTTAAATTAAACTGCTTAAGGACATCCCAAGGCCTTTTGCCTGGCAATGTTATATTGTAATACCCGCTACAGGTGCAAAATAAATGTGGAACTTCTAGCTACAATAATAAACAGTTTTGTCCCGGTGTGCAATGCAAAACTAAAAAACTGGCTCACGAATTACTGTAATCGCTGTCTACCTTTGATACAAGTTAACGAGAAAGAAATGTATATTTTCGCCACGCTGAAGACTAAATACCCTAGTAAGGTAATTTTTTTCTGTCACTTTTGTGTGTACCAGTGTCTGCAAACAAAGTAACCAAAGCAATAAAATTTGCTGTAATGAAAAGTTATGTCACACACTCGTAGATCTGAGCAAAGACAATATAATGTCTATATATGTTTATATTGTCTTTGATCTGAGTGTGTGTAAGCAGTGCAGTAAGAAGTCGCAAGTCTGCTGCAAGCAGTACAAAAAGTATTCCACTAGTCATTGAATGGTCAAGCAGTGTTACAGACGGAACTAAAACTTAAAGGTTTCGTGTCCATGCTAAGTAGCTTGTGGCGAAATAACGAGTATAGTCCCTTCAGTTTCCGCTAGAGAGCTAAAATATCAGTTATTCGAAGTGACTCAAGTGGCCACGCAGCTACTAGTAACCGAAGCGAAGCCGTATCCCCTGCTGCTGAATTAACAGCACCAAACACAATATAAACAGTAAGATGAGCCACGTATGTATACATATGAATGCGAAGCAAAGCTCTTCAAACGACACCATTATTGCCAGCTTAAGTTTTTTCCGTCAGATCTGGCATTTTTGAAATTTTGATTGCGGGAAAGAACTGATAACAAGGGCCTGCGAGAAATCTTGGGTTTTTTTTTTAAGTGAGATTAATTTGTTTGACATGACATTAAAGTGTAAAATGTCCAAAATTTAATACAAACAATGGCTGCGTCATGTTTGGCTGCAGAATGCCGAATTTAAGAAATGGCTCCACAACGATATGAATGACGACCGCGGGCTTATTGTAGTTATTGAAATAGTAATATAACGGCCAAACTAGCGGACTTAAAGACATATACAGCCACAAAAAATTTAAGAATGGTTGGTACACATACACAAGAAAAACAAAATTTATTTTGAACATGTACTGCAGTGGTTTCAGCGAATCATTTGAGCAGTTTGTGTAATCAATAGTCCCGATCGGGATATCGTTGAGGACCATAAATTACCTTAGGGTGCCCAAATTTTGCAGGGGTCGCAACTCCGATCTGAGGATCCACGGTGTTGAGCGAAAAAGGTGAAGAGCGTTGGCGATTTCCCGCTCGATTCGCTAGGATGGGAATGAGGGAAACTCCGTGCCATTTATAATTCCCTTGGCCTTCCACGGTCGTTGAGCGACATATGCAGTTGTGCATAAGGGCAGCATGGATCTGGTTGCTACCCATGGCAACGATGAGTCGAATTTGAGTGGTTGTCTCCGGCCCCTCCAATATTTTAAAATAAAGAATTAAATATTCCCGTGGTCGAGACACGCGAACATCTCAACGTTTCATATTTTTCTTTAAAATCCACAATTAACATATAAACGTACATACTCACACTCATACATATACATATAAATACTAGCGAGTATTGCCCGGCCATTCCACTAAGTACACGACCGTGGAAAAATTAAATCTACCCGCACCATCTTCATCACCACCTCTATTTAAAAATATGTTTAAAGTGCATTGAGTAAAGAACCAAATGCTGGAATCAGAGGTTTCCGCCCTTGTTAGTCTTGTGGTAAGAATCTTGAGGCCGAATGAAAAACTTGCGTTTATAGACTCGCACTTTCCATCCAATAGCGGTGTACTTTGTGAAGGTGTGTCGATTATTAACCAAAAAGTTAAGATTTTTCGCCAAATTTCCACAGTTGCGGGTGGAATTTTCTAAATCGCTGGAACCCGTATTCATTAAGTTTTTATGTAGAGCTTTCTAAATAAATAAGATGCAGAGCGGATAAAACTTTACCAAAACAAAATCGTAGAATCGCATTTTCCACCGAGGAAGCTTGGATTTTGCGAAAAATGTGAAACTCGTCTCAAATGATTTTTCATATAGATCCTTGGAAATGCATTTGAGGGCGAAACGTCACCCACCAAATCTTGGACATCCACTTCCATCAAGAAGGAATGGATTTTTTGAAAAGTGTGAAACGCCTCTCAAATGAATTTGAAAACTGATCTTTAAAAATGATTTTGAGGCCGATCAGGTGGTAAACAAAAAAGTTTTGTTGCATTTGACGTTATCGGCAGCATCGAGGGTTTGCTTAGTTGGTTGCGTGCGATATTATCGGCCACGCCGATATCTTTTTGTCATCTGGTCAGTGTATGGGGTGAAGCTGGGCCCACGGCGGAGCCCAATTTATTGAAGGTTGTCAACGCCAGGCTTGCGATCCACGGCGCCAAAAGCGACGATTGCTATTGGCCGCCCGGTTCGCTATTAAAGAGACTATGAGGAGAGTGGATCGCATCTCCTTGGATATGCCCTTGGCCTTCATTTGGGCCGTTGACTCAAAAAAACGTTTAACGGCAGGCGTGTTGTGCGCAAGCGCACCTTTGAAAAACAAATTTGAAATTTAATTTAAAAAAATTAACATTTTGTGAGGTCAAAAGAAATGGCGTAGTAAATTTATTTTTTTATCAGTGGCGCCGGAAAATAAAATATATATATATATATATATATATATATATATATATATATGCGCCCATATACACAAAAAAGTACATCAAGCAGCGCAAAACATTTAATTTTCGCAAAAAAAAAAAATCGTCGGCCGTTAATAAAGAGAAAAAAACTTTGTAGCGTGCGCCAATAAAAATATACGCTCATTTTATTCGACGAAGATAACAAAATGAAAATAAAATAAAAATAATAAGCATCGAAGTGCCAGCCAAGGAGTCACGCCGGAGGGCACCTGAGCGCGGCCGAGCCTCGGCGCCACCCTCAAGACGGCAAGACGAGACGCCCAAGACGGGGCTCCAACAGCGAAGAAGCGGCCACCGGCGAGACCACGCCCACATCATCTGAGTGAGTCCGTTCTAAGTCGTCCTTCCTCGCACCGAACAGCCGGCAGAGTCAGACTCTTGCTCGAGACACCTGACGGCGAAATAATTTTAGCAATTGTTAAATTTGGGTTGTTTTTGTTAATTACATAATAAATAATTACGCCAAGTTCACTTGAGAGTCCGAACAGTGAGGAAAAAACTCCAAAGGTTATGCATATGCGCCTATAAAATATAAAACTTAAAATGTTGAAGTTGCGCGAACAATACCCAAATACATAACTAACTTGAATTACCCCTTTCTATTGCCCCTTACCACCCCCTGCTGCACGACTGATTTTCGTGTTATAAGTATTTGCGTGGGTACACTGTTCCTGAATCGGTGCAACGATTGCCTTATAATTGCTTTCTTGTTTTTTTTTTTGGCGGCGATTAGCCATGACCTCTGGCCGTATTTTCATCGCATGTTCTGTCCAATATTGTTAACTAATGTACTCTGAAAGAAAAACGTGAAATTTTAGAAATTAAGATCAACTATCCATAACAATAAGGGAACACAATAATTTTACGCACTTGTTGAAGTGTATGAAAAGTCAGCTGGCATGAAGTAATAAATAGCTGAATGGAAAGTAATAAATTGCAAATTATAAAGAAATAAAAGAAATATTAACTGCCAATAATTATAAGAATACACAAACAATTATACGCACCTGCGAAGTTAACGAAATTATCCACTTGCATGAGATTGTAAATAGCTGCTAAGATAAATGCCGTAAGCGATGATATTAATTGTTATAAATTTTAAGAAAACGCAACCAATTATACGCACATATTGAAAGAAAAGAATGTCCGGCTAAATTCATATTGTTGGGGAGAGTGGGCATGATGGCCGACACGGGCTAATGCAGGCCATCTAGTGGCCAAAATGAGGGAGACGAGTGCAGGTGATCGTCTCATGGTAGGGCGGGTACGCTGGGTCCGGAACCGGGGCCCGATCTGGAAGAGTAAGGTGGATAAATAGTGTTTTTTGTTAACTTATATTGAGCGTCTCACCTTTGTTGTTTACATTTTCATTGTTGTTACAGCTGTTTATTTTGTTCATGAGTTAGCAGTTCCGAATATTTGTTATCGATTATGTGGTTCATTTTGAATAGTGTTGTGTGAGTCTGTTTTGCTTTGTAGTCTGTAGTCTGTAGCTTTGTTGTTATCGATTGTGCGGACTGCGGGCCAGGGATGGGACTACACCCAGAGAATCCGATGAGCCAGCCGGCGCGGCCCACTGAGAAACAAGCAGTTCCGTAACAGTTTCATTCAAAGATTTTTCGCGATTTTTCCCCACTTGCGTATGTGTGTATGTAACAGGCAAAAAGAAGCATCTCCGACCCCATAGAGTATATATATTCTTGATCAGAATCAACAGCCGAGTCGATCTAGCCATGTCCGTCAGTCTATCCGTCTGTCCGTCCGTAATGAACGCAAGAATCTCAGAACCTGTAAGAGCTACAGACTTGAAATTTTAGCTGTAGGTCCTCCTAGTGCCCGCGCAGTTCGAGTTTCCGATAATCGATAACTTGTTCCGTTTCCAAGTAATCGATAAAAATCGATATCGAAATCCTGTTTTTTAACAAATTGGGTAAATAATAAGAGCTAGAGTCCCAAACTTGACATGTAGCTTTTAGAATAGTATATATATATCAAGTATCTTTCATTTTTTAGCTATCCCCACCTCCCCGCTACCACCAAAAAGCTATAAATCATGTTAGTAAGCCAACTTGTATTGCCTACCTAATTATGTCACAATTTAAATGCAATTGTCATTTTGAGAATACACGAATATTTTATAGTACAATAAGACCTACTACCAAAAATTTAATCAAAATCGGTTAAGAAACACGAATGAAAATGAGTATTGGCCTGCAAACACGTGCAGCAGCAAGCGCAAATTCCATTTCTGTATACCTGTACATACACACATTCACGCGCTATCAACATCATTGCAATGGTGATTGTATTGTTTTTTGTGCTGCTATTTTAATTCGATTTTATTTCATTAAGACTTAATTAGTGGTGTGGCTATTGAGTAGAGGCGGCGGCAAGTAATGCGGTCAGTTGCGAGTTCAAACCCTGCCAAGGGAAATTTTTTTTTTTATTTATTACTTTTAAGGGAAACGAGCGAGTAGCGCGAGCTGCATTTGGAGTGGAATAAGAGGGTTCAGGGTATCCCCTAGTCGGGAGCTCCCGACTAGAATCTCTTACTTGTTTTAATTTATCTTTATTACTAAAGCAAACGAGCGCGTAGCGCGAGCTGCATTTGGTGTTGGAAGAAGAGTGTTTAGGGTATCCTCTAGTCGGGAGCTCCCGACTGGAATCTCTTACTTGTTTGTTTCCCTTAATAACTGCATATATACGTATGTATAACTATTTATACCCTGAACACCATTGAGTAATAAAGAGACAGAGCTGAAGGCTCACTCCGAGCTTTTTTTACCGTTTTGAAAATCCCGAGAGGTAGATCGGGTTGGTCCGCAAACGCAAAATCCAACTCAAAAATAAAGCTCATTTACTATAGGAAGCAACAACTAATCACTCGCAAAACAACAACAGTGCGCACGAAAGCCCATTTGTTTTTTTCGTCGTCCGTCTTGATCTTCATAAGTTTCTGCGCGATGATGAGGACATAGGAAACTCAGTGCTAAGAAAAGGGACAAATAATGCCACTGTATTTGTTGCTGGTTTCTCTGTCGTTCCAACAAGGCGGCGCGTAGAAACAACAACAACACTATTTGGGTTCTAATTTTGTTGTTGCATAGCCGAGTCTCGGCGTAAGTAGGTAGAAAAATCGAATGCGAGCATTTAAATCAAAGGGTTACGCACACGGCGCGTCAACATTATATACTATGACGTCACATTTTAAAGAATTTAATTTCTTGTGATGCTTAGAATATATTTCTATCTTTATTACGTACATTAATGTAATATATTAATAGGGTCTTTTATAAAAATGCATGTATTTAATAATGTATTACTTTATTGTACGCAACGGTCGCATACAAAAAGCCTTAAGCTGTGACGTCACATGCGCAACAGAATGTTGCAATCTTCTCAAATTCATATACTTCCCTTGGCTTGGAAAACACATACATGCATATTTTTTGCCAATGTGTGTGAGATGAGACACACATGCCAACAACTATTTGGCGCGTCGAGGCATTGATACCCTTATACATAGAAATGGTATAGAATGTTTAAGGAAAACAATTATTATAGATTGCACTAATAGCTGCACACTAAATACGATATTATATATTTCTCAGACATTGGGTCAAATATGTGTATATAAGAAGGTTAGTGGTAATTGGTTACAGAACTTATGAATAGTTAAAATACCCTATTTTGAGAAAGGGTGCCTTGCTGATCGAAAAATGAAAAATTATAAAATCTGCCGGGCTGCTTGCAAGTTGAAAGCGAGTGGAGAAGAAGAAGACATAACTTTGCGAATTAAAGGCATAGCAGTGCTTAGAAACCGCAACAATAAGTTAGAAGAGTGTAGAAGCTTAGATCATAGGCTGTAGCTTCAAACCAAAAAGGGATAGCAGGGACAGAATTTGTGGTGTGCTTTTTTCATTGTCGAGTCGTTTGTTTTGATTATGGTTGTTGTTGGTTCATATGGGAAATGTTCTGAAGTTGTCTTTGATATTTGGGCAACGGCAGAAGTAGCTGTAGACAGCCGGGTGTTGTGTTTGCAATTTTTCATTGAGTAATACCACTAACCATACAATGCATAGACTTGTCAAATGTCAAAATAATCGGATACCGATAAATCGTCAACGACTGAGCCCCATCGGTGACCGCGACCATTTTAGTGTGCCCAGACAAAGTAAGACTGCTGAGAGTGGCAGCCGAACGCCGGCCTCGACAGCCGAACGTTCAGTATGAAGCCGCATCCCGCTCAGCGCACAACGTTGCTGCGGCTGATGCTTTTTTGTAATATATGTATCTTTTCAGCCCAAATACATACATATGTGTATATGCGTGTGCAGAGTACCCCTCGCTCACACTTATTGCTTTGCGCACTTGTGTGCATCTCCTCCTCCCTGCATAGCTTCTCAAAAACCCCGAGATCTACAAACATACATACATATGTTTGTGTTGTGTGGATGTGCGCACAAGTAGATCGCGGCGTTTGTCGCGAGCCAGAGATTTTTTCTTCAATTGTGTGCCCTTTGTGCCTGTGGTGGCAAAAGGCACACACATTCAAATGCTCTATCATGTATTTCTTCGTCCAGTCAGGCATAATGAGAAGAATCTGATATATTTATATTCATTAAAAACTTAAATGACCTAAATGATATATTTATATATTATATTTTAATTTTTTTGTTAACTGTGGGGACCAATTTTGCTTAAAATTAAAAAAAAACTAAGTCGTATTTCTGCAAGGGTAATGCTTCGTCGGCTTGTCGAATAATTTAAGAAAAGACCAAACATTGAAAATGTTCAATTTTTTCGACTTGCTACTTGTGCACACGCGCACTCTTTCAAGTAAGCAGTTGTGTGACATTATTAAAGGGTTTGGCCTGTTCATGTGCAAAACTCCTATTTTCCATGCATGGTGTAAGGGTAAGGGTACCTGAACGTTGGCATGTGTGCATAATAACTCTTTGGGACTGCCAAGCACACACACTTACACACTTTTCTATATGGATGGAAGCATTTATGCGTTTGTGTGCATGTTGGTTGCCTGCCTGCCTGCCCGATGCAAATTTGACCAAATTTGAAGTTTTTGGCATTTCTGAATTTCGAGCTCTACACACAGACACACACACAAATGTGTGCGAATGAGCCGATCAAGGGTTTGTCGTGAGACAGAGATATTTTTCTCAATGGGTGCGTAAATTTGGGCGACGGTGGGCTTGCGGCCGCGTGAGGCACAAATGTGTGAACAGGCAACGAAAACAGGTGAACCGCACTTGCCGCTCGTTTGCACTTTGATATGGATGCAGACGCATGCTGCACATTCTTATCGTTAATTGCCTGCCATATAACCCTTTAACCCAAAATGTTTACTATGTCAAAAAATACATAAAAAGATCACTTGCATTTTTTCCATATCAAAGTGCAAACGAGCGGCAAGTGCGGTTCAACTGTTTTCGTTGCCTGTTCACACATTTGTGCCTCACGCGGCCGCAAGCCCACCGTCGCCCAAATTTACGCACCCATTGATAAAAATATCTCTGTCTCACGACAAACCCTTGATCGGCTCATTCGCACACATTTGTGTGTGTGTCTGTGTGTAGAGCTCGAAATTCAGAAATGCCAAAAACTTCAAATTTGGTCAAATTTGCATCGGGCAGGCAGGCAGGCAACCAACATGCACACAAACGCATAAATGCTTCCATCCATATAGAAAAGTGTGTAAGTGTGTGTGCTTGGCAGTCCCAAAGAGTTATTATGCACACATGCCAACGTTCAGGTACCCTTACCCTTACACCATGCATGGAAAATAGGAGTTTTGCACATGAACAGGCCAAACCCTTTAATAATGTCACACAACTGCTTACTTGAAAGAGTGCGCGTGTGCACAAGTAGCAAGTCGAAAAAATTGAACATTTTCAATGTTTGGTCTTTTCTTAAATTATTCGACAAGCCGACGAAGCATTACCCTTGCAGAAATACGACTTGGTTTTTTTTTAATTTTAAGCAAAATTGGTCCCCACATTTAACAAAAAAATTAAAATATAATATATAAATATATCATTTAGGTCATTTAAGTTTTTAATGAATATAAATATATCAGATTCTTCTCATTATGCCTGACTGGACGAAGAAATACATGATAGAGCATTTGAATGTGTGTGCCTTTTGCCACCACAGGCACAAAGGGCACACAATTGAAGAAAAAATCTCTGGCTCGCGACAAACGCCGCGATCTACTTGTGCGCACATCCACACAACACAAACATATGTATGTATGTTTGTAGATCTCGGGGTTTTTGAGAAGCTATGCAGGGAGAAGGAGATGCACACAAGTGCGCAAAGCAATAAGTGTGAGCGAGGGGCACTCTGCACACGCATATACACATATGTATGTATTTGGGCTGAAAAGATACATATATTACAAAAAAGCATCAGCCGCAGCAACGTTGTGCGCTGAGCGGGATGCGGCTTCATACTG